ACGAGCTCTATGACTTATGGTTTTCTTACTCCTCATGTTGATGATAGTCAACCCTAGAATATTTAATTCTTCTTTACATTTATATGCTTGTTACAAAATATTTCAAATTGTTTCTCCGCAAAAATCTCTTATAGTATTGATTTTATATTTTTATAATTTATAGACAAACCATTCACTGATATTAAAGATAATGAGTCCGTGGGGGTTTTACGGGTGGTCCAGGGAATCTGGACCCCCCCCCCATGTCACGCGTTTAAGTTGTGATATATTATATTTTATATGTCGATATACGCTGATAGATACGCTTATACGCTTAAATATAAATCTGGTGATTTCAACCGTATATTTAAGTGTTTGTTACAGCTATTTCCTATTAAGGTATTTATATTTTCCTTATTTAATGAATTAAACATTTTTTATTTTCATATATTATAAGATAATTTAAAGAACCCTCAGAAAAAATTTTTTAAAAACCATCACTGTGATGAGTTGTACAGTATTTTTAAAAGATCTAGAAATTTTTTTTTAAATTATTCGTATTTAGCGAACCATATTTAATTTTAGATTCTGAATGAAACGAGGAATGTATTGATTTTACCATGATATGGGTTTTTATTTTTATTATTGTGTACATAATTTCGATCAAAAGGATTGTTCCAATCACTTCATGGAATATAAAATAATATAAAGCTTGGCTAACCTAACCATCCACTTTTAATTTCTCAACAGTTTTTCGAATAATCGAGAAAACTGAAAAAAATTCAAGTTTTCAAGTTTTGAACTCAACGCCGTTAAGAGTTGTGTAATGCACTATTCCATTAGAAATTAGAAATATCCAATTATAATCTTATTAATAAACTTGGTTCAGTTACTACTTGTGTATCTTTAGAAATATAAAGTTAATCGCTTTACCTCTTTCACTCAAAATCATTTTTCAAAAGTAATGACTCATTGGCTTCAAATCAGTTCCGTAACTAGAAGTTGGTGAAATGGGTGGTTGCCATGGGCGCAGAAAAATAAGGGGATGTATTTAATTATGTTGAGTTTTCTGTATAAAATAAAAGGTAAAATAAAATTCGCCAAGGACACCACAGAGGGTAGTTCCGTAGTTCCATAGTGCCGTCACTACTTTAAATGTATTTAACCAATATAGTATTTTCCATTCACTCGTCCTTGTATCTCACTTGAATATCAAATATCACCTGTATTTTTAATTTTAATTTCATAATATTATGATTCAACATACTGTTCCATTAAATTTATATATTATACCATTACAATAAGTAACCAAATTATTATTTTTTTTTTTTTTACATTAAAGAGTATTGTATGCTTGTATGGACTGTAACCAATTATTTAAAAAAAGGAAATGCGACATGACTTTAAGTGAATATTCTACTGAAGAAATTGACTTTCCTACATTTTTGACATTTCACTTAAATCCCATTAAAATTAATAAAAAATGGTTTTACTCTATTAAAGGTACCTACTATACTAGTTATTTAATTTTCGTCCAAACACAAAAACAAAACTAATACACATACGAGAAAGATAGTCTGAAGTATAAATATCACTGAGAATTTAAATATGTTTTCGAAAACCTCTGTATCATACCAATCATAAATGGACTGGTATGTTGAAATACGTAAAAATGTCTTTATCACATGTGCGATGGACAAAGATAAGATAAATCTCTGTTTCCGTTTTTTATAACATAGGGCACAAGTAAAATGGTGTTGTAAGTGGTAAATGTTTAGGAATGCAGTCACGTAGGTATTTATATTCTTCTTTCCTATGCAACTTACCCTTATCGATTGCATTATATACCGGTTGTCATTTCAAACAATAACACTATTATTATTTTTTTTTTTTTTTATTGTCACCACTTATCTGAATGAGTTATAGAAATAATGGTTTTACGCAGTGGAATTTCGGGTTAACTATACTAGTCGATGTGAATCAGAGTACAGAAATATCTAATATATTATAACATAAACAAATTATACAATTAAGACACAATAATAAAGAACTATTGTTCTTTAAATACAAAGAATATATGTTATTTAGTATTAAATTCGATAATGCGATAATAACACTCGAGATAAAATATTGTTTGGACTTTATTATTTCAATAATTACCTGTGTAAGACCAATGAACATACATCAGGGATTAATATGTATAATTATTAGTCTAATCACTCTACGATACGCTTAGAACTACGATTGCAATCGTCGATGTGAAAAGATTCTGTAGGTACAAACGCTTACAATGATTGTTTTTTTTCTGTGTACTGCAATACTGTACATGGTGATATTTTCTCCTATAGTGATAAATTTATTCACATTTTCGTAGTAAGATTTTAATACATTTTTAACGTCTCACATTACTTTTATTTAGAATTTATTAATTAAATATAAATGTAATAATTAAAAACTAATAACTAAATTCGCGGAGCATAACGGAAAATATACCTACCGTCGATTATGAACTAATTCACTACAATCATGCGGTCAAACGTCGCATCAGTTTTCGATAAAGTTAATTATTGTTTATCTCTAGAGCACTATAACAGTTTTTAATAGTAATGCTGCTGCAATACAGCCGTCAGTTGTATACGATTCCGATTTTCAACAATGAATATATTGGTTTTTAAATTAACGATTAGAAAAAATAATTACTATACGCTACTTTTTCTTTCAATTATTGGCACAATTTTATCCAATGTGCATAAAGTATGATAACATACAGTATAATAGATTACATAATATTTTTTTGCTTATGCTATGCATTATATTTAGGTGTTAATGTATCACACTACGATAATGTATATATATATAATGAATTAGTCATTCTCATAACTAAAGTAACGACAACACGGTCCAATAGAGCACTATTTTAACGTATGCCGTACAGAAGTTGAACTCTCATTCAACGTTTTTGAAATATTTACAAAACATAGGTACAACACCTACGTGTCATGTGTAATAATTTGTATTTATATTTAATTTTATGTGCATTAACTTTAATTTTGTACATCGTATAATATACTGTAAATTATAGAATCAATGTTTTCAAGAAAACTGCACTACACACCGTTTTTGATTGTAATTACGTTTTAAGCTCTTTTGGAAGTGTTTTAATATTAATTAATTTTGATAATTTAATTATTTTTTATTTAACCTCCAGATTTAAATTATCACGAATCGATTGTATTTAATTAGCATTATGAAAATACTAAAAAAATCATATTACGCAATAGCTTGTACACTCACATATATAAATATAATAACGGAAACATTTTTAATAACAAACGTTATTAATTCTAACCACGATTAAATAAATCGAATAGGTATTAATTATAATTTGAAGGTAAAGTGATGGAGAATATGTTCGATTTTTCTCTAAATGATTAAACTCTTATTCAGTATAATTGCAAAAAGATTTGCATACAGGTGTAATACACGGTAAATGTATCAACTCAAAAAGTGGACTAAACTGCGAGTACTTTTGAAACGTTTTGACTCTCTAGTAAGTGTTCTATTAGAAAATTCGAAAATATTAAATTTCATAGAGACATTTCGTAGAATACCTAATTTACATTTGAATAAAATATAACATTTCTTTATTCTGTAAAACACAAAAATTCTAAGTATTTTAAATAAAATATTCAACAGTATAAGTTTCTTTGAATTTATTCGCTGCTCAAAATAGTAATTAAAATGCAACAATTCAATTGTGCCTTCAAATTTATACTTCCTGATTCTCGTACACCTGTTACTAATATTCATTTGAGAGCGAAGCCACATGAAGGACAAGCGTTCGATCTTTGCTTTACCAATTTTTTATATTCTGAACATTTTTCGTAATAACTAATTTACAACTCGAACAGTTTATAAAGTTCATTATAATTCATATGAAAAAAACACACATATTAAAATGTTAGCACGAAAAAAATATTTTTTAAAAAAAAAATAATGTCCCATATTTTATATATTAGATACATTTAAAAACTATAGGATTTATATTTAATTATCTAGTTACAATTTCTAGCTCAGATTAACGAACTCTAGTGCAATATATTGACCTTTAAACTATACAGCTCTCAGTATTGGCACTGAGTAAAATGAATTCCTTTTATTTTATTATTAATTATAATTACAAAAGAAAAAGCAAACAAATTTACAAATAGGATCTTATCAACTTTTGAGAACTAATAAATCTGGATATTTGTTACAACTAATACGTCTTCAATTGTATCGAAGAAATATAACAGATTTGAAGCTTAGATAAATAATTTCACAATTAAAAGTACTATAATTTCAAACATATTCATAATATTAATGTAACATAAATGAATGGTAGAATCATTTAATTTTTAAGCAATACTTTTTTTCATAAAATAAATAATAAGAAAAAATACGTTATAGACTTTTATTTCACCTTATATATTTAATATTATTGAATTGTTCTAATTTGATATCAAGTTATCAAGTATCATTAGTGGCACCAAATGATATTCCCGGTATGGGTACCGCTATGTGTCGACTTTCCTATCAAATAATGGTCGGGTAAGGTTGATGTGTCAAATTCTTTTAGATTAAGTTAATAGTTTATGAAGTATGTCATGGAAAACTAAAAAAGTATATAATAAGTAACTATTTTTATAATATAGAACATAAATAAATAATTAAACAATGAGTTTTCTGATGCATTATCATTTAATTAATATAATAAAATTAAATTATTTTAATATATAATATTTAAATTACTACTGAACTGGGAATTAAAAAAAAAAATCTTTGAGTTATATTCTGACTCTACTTTTAATTCGTTAAATTTTTATACCATAACAATTATAATAGGTAATGTGATTTCCATCTTGTTACGGCTTTATATAGGTACTTACATACTTAATTAAAAACAACAAAATTTAAGAGTGATTTTAAATTGTTACCATGTTCTTACTCACTAATTAAAAAAAAAAAAAATGTTTGCTTGATTAATTATATAAAATATGAAAATAATATCCATTCTGTTGATATAATCATGAAATTAAGTAGTTTCTAAGATTACAAAAGTTAAAAAGTAAAGTTTACAATATTAGTATTCACAATTCTGAATTAATCATTTTGTATGTACCTATGTAAATTTTGTTTTTGATACTACATGACACACCAATGTATTAAAATATTAAACATATTACTAATGTGTTGTTTTTTACCAAGTAAGCTTGCAATGTTATTATATCAACGACAGTCGTTATGTAATTAAAGATTACTTATGTGCATTTAATTTCATCATCGTTATTATGCATTTTAATTTCAAATAAAACCTTGTTTATTTATACAATCTGGTCTGCTTTCAATCTCTTATAATTGGAACGCCGTCCAGTATTACTAATTTAGGAAGTTTCCTTATACAATCACTACGCCAAACTGATTCATCCAAACAGTCATAAAGTGGATTTCCTAAAAAACGTATAAATAATATTTAATAAGCATATGAAAGAACTTAGAAAAAGCCATTGGACTAATATCGAAATTACTCATATACAAATCAAATAACAACTCCATAATAAAATGAGATGTGTCAAACGTAAATTATTTTTATTCAATAGTATATAGTATAAAGTTTATTCAACCTTATTTAAGTAAAAATAGTAAAATTAAAATGAATTCTTAAGATCTAAGTATACTAAATAATGTGTTACTATTTTAATATTTATAATGTCAATTTAAAATTTATAATACATTTTAATACTTAAAATAAAAATATTCAATCCAACATTAAAATATATTGGCAACCGATATATCATTTAAATAATATTAATATATTACAATAATAATCAACAATCTACATTTTACTACATTATATAGGCTACAGATGTAGATGAATAATCTCGATATTATACTACCCAATGTACAATTTAGTGTGATTGAAAAACTTTTATTTAAATTAAGTATATTTTTTTAATTTTTGAAATAACACGTGTAATTTACCAACGAACAAAAAATCTTTAAGATTCTCCATTTCTGCGAGTTTATTTACTTCTGCCCATTCTTTAACATTATTATTAGACATGTGTAATACTTTAAGTTTACGCATGCCAAGAACTCCTTTCATTTTTTCAATAAAATTATATGATATCCATAATTCCTCTAGAGTATCAGCCAATGGTTCAAGTCCAGTAAAAGCTTTAATGTAATTTCTTCCAAGAGATAACACTTTTAAATTCCTTAATGTAGCAAGACCATTTATTTTCTCGATCATGTTTGTACTTAATGATAATTTTCTAAATAAATTTAAAATTTATTTTTACTTAGTTACTTATTATTATTGTAGGTACTTATTATTTACAGTTAAAAAAATAAAATTATATTCATGTTATATTTTTGTGAAATACTGATCAATTAAAAATAAATAAATATTATAATAATATACTAACAATACTACACATACTCGCATTTTGTTAAAATTGACAAATTGTTGTCCATTTTTTCAATCGGTGGCCATTGAAATTGTAAGCAAACATTTGTAGCCTCATATGCCGGTTCTTTATTTTCTTCTTCCCAATTTTTTATTGCATCTTTGATTGTAGTTGCTTTTAAATCCTATGTTAGGTAAATGTTTTTTTTTTTCATTAGCATTAAACAAACATAATAAAATAATTAATTATTAGTATATATTTACTCCCATTATTGTGTTCTTTTAGTTTATAAAAATCTTCGTTATTTTGCATTCGTTGTTATTAAACGGCCACAATCATTTTAGATTTACATTCAATATGACATACAATATTGTTTGTTGTCATAGTTATTTTATGAGTCACTAAATTATTGACGTACACCTTTAAGTAACAGTTTTTGTAATAATAATTAAGAATAAACTAAATATTTTACATAGTAGGTTATGTATTTTACATATTTTAAATTTTTTAGATTCTGTATGAAACGAGGAATGTATTGGATTTACCATTATAGGTAGATATGCGTTTTATTGTGGAGTACTCCGATCAATACCAAATAATACCAAAGTAAAAGATAAGAAATGGATTCTAGTTTACACTTTTGATGTCATTTTTTGAATTTTTCAGATAGGTAATTAAGAAAAACTGAAAAAGAAATGGAAAACACATTAAATTCCATCCTAAATTTGAACCCTCATTAATAATCGTAAATTTTTTTGGCACGCACTATTTTTTTTAAGACTATATGATTTTGACTAACAGGACTGCTCCAATCATCAAAATTTTAAGAGATTACTGGTAAAATATGTTGTCTAGTTGTTACTTTGAAAGGAGTAATTTCATAAATTTCCTTACTACTTTCTTAATAATGCCATGAAATGAAGAGTTATAAAAGTATGGTTAAATTTAGAGCATACCTACCTACCTGTTTTCGACAAACTTAAATTTTGGTTTTTTTTTTTTTTAATTCAAAATATACTAATCATAGTGACCTGCAATTTTTACTGGATACTTATATCACTGTTTGTTATATATTGTATAATATTCAAAAAAAATTGTTTTTAAATATTTATAGAAATTTTAATTTTCATGTTATCTTAAATGGTCTTGAAATGTTCAATTTTTCAAAATTTTAGTTATCATATTTTGTTGTAAAAATTTGAACATCTCCAGTTCAACCTACGGTATTAAAAAAATTGAGTTTTCTATTACATAAATCAACATTCAGAAATAACAATTTCTCCTTCACTTAAGTTTATTTGATTAAACACTTTAATATTAGGTACCGTTGATTATATATAATCAATAATGTTAGTAAAAACCAATAGTCCTTTGCCATTCTTAGAAAGTAGATAAAATGATCCGCAGCCATTCTATATGGAAGATATTATGATTGCAAACTTAATTTGTAAACCAAACATTCAACTAGACAAGAAAAGAGTCAAGACTTAATAATCTAAAGGCAAATTGTAGACTTGAAGCATTACAAGTATAACATAATATATGTCAATATGCACTATTCTCTTTTTTTCATTCCAACAATTCAGCACTAAAATCATTGATGACAAATCATCTGTTAAAGGACTTCTTAATAACATATAAATAAACAAAGATAGAAAAATTAATAATTAATAAAAAATAATACAAGATTGGTTTCTAAAAATGATTTAAATATAATTTGATAGATAATTATTAGCATAGTCACTTCATTAAAAAATAATAATTATTTCTGATTAAGTTACTTAGAAAATATTTTATTATTTTATGATAAAACTGGTTCTTAGAAAAAAAAAATGGTAACAAATAACTCAAAATAAAGTTTTTTTTTAGACAGATAAAATAGTATTTATTAAAACAAAAATAATATTAATAATATATATATAAATGTAATGGATCTTATTAAACAATTAAAAAATTGGCACACAATTGGGTAACAAATAAGTTACTATATAAATTTGTAAATACTATATAGTAAAAAATTAAATATAAGAAAAATTGCATTTTTAATAACAATATGTGAAGAATTGTAAGCTTATAAAAAATAATATTTATAATTAATGAACAAATAAAGAAAGAAATTTGAAAACTGTTGTTCATTATTTAAACAATATTTCTAAACACATCACTTGAATTTGTTAACCATTTTACTTTACCAACATCTTTGTCCAAGTATACTTGATTGGTAGCTAATAACTTTAAGGCTTTCGGAAAAGCTAGATGTTCGACTTCCTTAATCTTTTCAATAAGACTTTCTTCAGTCTCGTCAATATTTATACTTACACTTTCTTGTACAATAATTGCTCCAGTATCAATTTCTTCCTATAAACAAAAATTTAAAAATAAATTTGGAAATTTTACGTTTCAAAATAATTTAAGTTTACCTCTACAAAATGCACAGTACATCCACTAACTCGTACACCAGACTCTAGGGCTTGTTTTTGAGCATTAAGTCCTTTGAATAAAGGTAAAAGTGAAGGATGTACATTTATTAAGCGGCCCCTCCATTTGTTCACAAATTTTTTGGTTAAAACTCGCATAAAACCAGCTAGACAAATAACATCTATTTGAGTTTGATTTAAAGCTTTCAACATTTCTTCCTCAAATTCTTCACGAGTACTGAACAGGGTATGATCTATTTCCTATATTTATTTAAACATGTAAATAATAAATTTAAAAAACAAAAATATATGATTTTTTATTAAACTACCAAAGCCAATATTCCGGCACGTCTTGCTCGGTTTATACCTTCCACTCCAGGCTTATTAGAAATTACTAAAACAATTTCAGACATCATGGACGGATCATCAGTTGTTGAGTCAATCAATGCCTACATAATTTAAAAACAAAAATTGAGAACCCCAATATTTATTTAAAAACTAAAATTAAATGATAAAAATATACCTGCAAATTCGTTCCACTTCCTGATATGAGAACAGCTACACGCATTTTTGGATGCATCCTAGTTGCTACATAAGTCTGTATATGAGGACGCATCAACGGCTCCATAGAATTTGCAAATTTCTTTACTTCAACAGATGGTTCGTCTACAAGTATTAATGAAAATTCATACTCGATTTATCTTTTTTTCTTCATATATATATGTATGTATTCTAACATAGTCTATATACATTAAAATGTAGTTAGATATATGTGTAAATAGTTAAGACTTACCAGCCATTTTTTCATCAACAATGCCAATAACTTTACCATTAGTTGCACAAAGAACATCTTCTGTGTGTTTACTATCAACTATTAATACCATACCTAATCCACAATTCAATGTCCGTAACATTTCTGTTTCACTGATACTACCTATTTTTTAAGAAACAGAATGTTAGCAATTTTTAATATAATTGAATAATATGATATACCTGTTGCAGCTATCCATCCAAATACTGGTTGTATTTCCCATTTTGTAGCGTCTAAAATAACTTTCATATTTTTTGGTAAAACACGAGGAATATTTTCAATTAATCCACCTCCAGTAATGTGAGCCAAAGCTTTTATATGATTATTTCTTATTGAAGGTAATAAACGCTCAACATAAATTTCTGTCGGTTTTAATAACTCTTCACCTGTAATAGTTAATTAAGCAAATAAGTAAAATCAATTATATTAAAACATTGATAAAACAGAGATAAGTACTACGTAAACAGAATTTTAAGTGTATTATTACTTTTAATATAACTCTATGTAAAATTAAGTTTTGATACTAAATCAGTTTGTGACATTAGAAACAATTTCTTTTATTCACATATCTCCACAATAATATTTTAATAGTCACAAACGATTTTGTTGGAAAAAATGTATGTGATTTGAAATAATTTTACCTTATGAATAATATAATATATCTAAACTTTTTTGCTAAAAAAATATTTTTAATTGATTTAAAAATGTTCTCAGTATAATTATATTACAGTATTTGCTCAATTTTCAGAAATCATTCTGATTTAAATATAAATGTATATCTTATTGATACATTATATATATTTAAAGTTTACCATAGGTTTTCTTATCCAAACTAAAAGGCGCTTCTTCTGTAAATTTATGACAACCCCTCTCCATTATCTTACGAATCAAACTAAATCCATTAGCATGTACACCACTTGATTCTAAACCAATTACAATATCTCCAGAAACAATATCTGCAATACGAGGTAAAATCTTATCTTTCTCTACTGCTCCTACTGCAAAACCTGCTACATCATAATCATGATTGTGGTAAAGACCAGGCATTTCGGCTGTTTCTCCACCTAAAAATAATTGTTGATATAATAATAATATAAAAACCTAAAAAAATTAAAATAAAAAATTACCAATAAGAGCACATCCAGCTTGTTGACAACCATCTGCAATTCCCTTTACAACTTGAACAACATTTCCTCCATTCAGTCGACCAGTTGCATAATAATCAAGGAAAAACAATGGTTCAGCACCATGAACTATTATATCATTAACACACATTGCTACAAGATCTTGTCCAATTGATTCATGACTGTTACATGTTAAAGCAACCTTCAGATAGCATTATAAATACAAAAACTTAAAAAATAATGAAGAAAATTTGTAAACTTTTTTTTAAATTTTATGTACCTTCAACTTAGTGCCAACTCCATCTGAACTAGACACAAGTATTGGATTTCGGAATGCAGCTGCTTTAAGATCAAACATAGCACCAAATGAACCCAAATCTCCAAGCACTCCTTGTCGTTTGGTCCCAGATACCATTTGTTTATAAATTGGAATTAAATCATTACCAGCAGTTATATCCACACCACTAGATTTATACGTTGTAGCACCCATAGCAAGAATTGCTCTGAAATTATAAACATTATTTTATTAAGTTAATATTAACAAAAAATATTATGTATTAATATAATACCTAGCAATTCCTCTATGAGCAATATCAGTTCTGAATTGTGCACCATTAAACAATATTCTACCGCAAGCCATAGTGGCTCTGGCAGCAGCTAAAACTAATTCCTGATGAGTGGTAACCACAATCAATACACGGCCTCCATTTGTTACCAATTCCCCATAGTTGTTCAACTTAGTACCCATGTGAAAAACCATACTTTTTGTTACACTTGGTAATCCTAAAAGATGTCCAATTATAACTAAGTTTTAAAAATATGTAGTTTTTTTTTTTTTTTTTAATAAAATAATTAATATGTAAAACTCACCAGTTATTACATCCCCTTTACTGGATGTTAATGGATATCCTCTGCTTGCCATCACAACACCTACACAAAATTGGTCAGTTTTCCATTCAACCTTAACTTTATCCAGAGTACCACAACAACATGCCTAATGAATATTCATTAATCACAAATTAGTAACACAAATTTGAACTATATTACTATTAGTATTAATTACATACTTGCATAATATCATAAAGATCAGATTTTAAAAGTGGTAGTATAGTTTGGGTTTCAGGATCACCAAAACGGCAATTGAACTCCAAAACTCTGATGCCATTATTGGTTACCATTAATCCAGCATAAAGTACACCTAAAAAATTTAAATAATAAAATAAAAATGTTTAAATTTACAATAATAAATAGAAAACTTACCAACAAAAGGAATACCACGACTACGGAGACCATCAATAGCCCTTTGTAAAATACCTCTTGCTTCGTCCAACTCATTTTGAGGCATATTAAAACAGGGACAAAAGGCTCCCATTCCTCCAGTATTTGGACCTTTATCATGATTGTATGCTCTTTTATAATCTTGACTGGGTAACATAACTTTAATATTCACACCATCAGAAAAACATAAAACCTTCAATATAAGAAAAAAATATTTAAAAAATTTGTTTCAAGATTAATATAATATTAAACAATTAATTTGTAAAATTAATATTAACATTAATATCATACAGAAACTTCTTCTCCTTGTAACAATTCTTCAACTACAACTGTCTGGCCAGCTTTTCCAAATCGATTTTCAGTTAAGATAGCATCTAATGCCAAACAAGCTTCTTGTTTATTAGATGCCACCACTACTCCTTTTCCAGCAGCAAGACCACTTGCTTTTACTACAAGAGCAGGATAATCAGCTCTATTACAAAAAAATCATAAAAACGCCTTAAATTTCATAAAAAAAATTGAACTAAAATGTATAAAAATAATTACGAATAAACAAAATCTGTAGCTTGTTTAACATCATTAAAGGATCTCCACTTAGCAGTTGGAATATTAAATTCGTCCATAAACTGTTTTGCCCATTCTTTATCACTTTCAATACGAGCTGCATTCGCAGAAGGTCCAAAACATTTAAGATTATGCTTAGCTAACACATCAGCAATTCCTGATGCAAGTGGATCTTCAGGACCTACAACCACTAAGTCAATAGATTTTTCTACGCACCATTTTGCCAAATACTAGAATAAAAAAGTAAATTAAATTAAAACTTGTTTTAAATAATATAAATATGTATGAATGTATTTTACTATAGAATTATTATTAATTATTATTTTTTTTAATATTAAATACTCAAAACAGAGATATAAAAAGAACTCAATTAGTGAATTTTCAAATGACACATTAGGACCAAACTCACTTGCCCACATTAATTTGTTTAGCCATATAAACCGAAATTAGTTGAAAAATACCAACATTTTTAACATTAAAAAGTTTTTATTTTGTACACCTGAGCCATTAAATTGGAATTAAATTAATAGATAAATAAATAGACAAATTAATAATGAATAATATAACCTCAGAATGCATAATTGTTCAGTTATTTTATGTTGTTAAGTACTTGAAGAAATTTCACTTGGTCCAAAATCGTGATTTTTTCCTGAGGGAAAGATCTTTCTGAGACATAGTCTACAATTTTCAGAATTGTGTTGAAATTCATAGTAAAACTAAAATGATTGTTATCGAGTTAGGGAAAGAAAACTACAAATTTATCGCTTTATATTGTTTTAATTTTATTTTTATGGCCCTCAATAACACTTTTTTACATTTAAATAAACTCATAATAAAATTAGAGAGTTAATTATTTTGATTACTTTTGATAAATACAATCTCATAGATGAAAAAAAAACCCAACTGTATCAGTTGTTAATACAAATTTTAATATGATAAAATAAATATTATCCACATAAACTGAATCAAATTCCCATATAAGCTGTTTTTTTTTTATCTTGGTAGTATACATTGGATTAGGGACCAGAGCATTTTTCCTATACTACACAGATGCCCATATTAACCAGTATCTACTGTATATATATATAACAGTGATGACAACATATCTATCCAAATGTAATATACTGAATGTTTATAAATCATATAAATTAAAAATTGAATTGTTTGCTAATGATAATATAAATTAAAATTTTTGAATATAAATAGCATTTATTAATAATATAAAGTGTTCAGATTAGTATTGTAAAATTAGGGAGTGCATTTTTTTTTAATAATAAAAAACATTTTAAATAGTTATTATAAAGAATAGTAGTATAATAATGAAATTAATTCCATCCAACTCTAAAGATATTCAATGAAATACAGAGCGTTCGTTTCTGCAGATATTATGAACAATAATTTTTTTAGTACCCATTATTAACTCTTAGTATGAACAATTTTCTCTAAAATAAATATGATGCATATAAAGTATGTATGATAAATATGTTACACCAGTTTTCTTAATGAACAACCTTTACTGAATTTACTAAAATAAAATTCAGTTTAATCAGTTTAAATCAGTGTAAAAGTTGAAAAACTATCAATTATTATAAAACAACCGGATACAAATTAACCAAAAGAAAGTCACATCCTTAACATTGTTAAAATATATTTAGACACAATGCAATAACTTTAAATTATCATACCTCAAAATTGTTGACATTCAAATCAACAAATTCTACTTGAGGCAATAGTACAGCTCCAATATTGTTTGGGGTAATGTAAATCTTATTCACCTAAAAATAAAACATGAATAAATATCATAATATTTTAAAAGTAGTTAAACCTTAACATAGGAAAAAAACATTGATAATCATGAACTCATGACTTACAAAATATTTTGGATGCAATTTTATTAAAATAAGATAAAATAACCTTAGTTTGAAATTTCAAACCATAACAAAAAATAAATTATCAAAGAAAAATTAAATGAATAAAATAACAATAATAATATTCTCATAACAATGAAATAATAAAAAAAAAAATAAAACTTGATACTCTTAAAAATGAGCAACTAATTACTTTTATAATTTCTTAATAGAATAAAGCATTAATTATTTTAAAATAATAATTAAAATTTTTAAAAAACGTATAAGTATTAATTTTATATAATTATAAAATAGTTTTCTTTTTATAAAATTATTACACGAAACTTTAAAGTAATTAATACAGCCAATTATTTAAATATATACATAATTTTTTCTTTTTAAAGTATATAACTTAGTACAATATTGTAAAACCAATACATGGCTTTCTTTACTTAAATTTTAATATTTTTTATTTAATTATGTAGTTTTGTAAAAAAAAATTTACAAAAAAAAATTATTACATGAAGATAAAAAATTCATCATTCAAAATTTCTCTCAAAAAAACATATATCTTATCATTAAAGAATTTGATATATTATTTATAAAATATATCATTATAAATATCCAATTGATATAATTAATTTTTTATAATTTTTTTATAATATGTACCTAGGTAGTATTGCGAAAAAAATAAACAACGAGAAAATTGTTAATTATAACTATGAATAAGACTTAATAATAAGACAATTATCAGTATGGTTCTTACTTTTGAAGAAAGCGATAGTTTCCAAGCAATTGCATTTTCTCGTCCTCCACCACCGACTACAAGTACTCTAGCCATTAAGAAAACTAAAAACAAAAATAATAAAAATAATAATAATAATAATAATAATAACAATAATAACACACAACTTATGAAAAAGTTGTTTATAAAAAATTGGAAATTTTTTAATGATAAAAATACAAATATACAATTACTTAAATTAACGTAAAAACTTCTAAAACACGTGCAAAATGTGAATAAAAAGGATGATTGCACAATAAAGCAAGAGAGAGCGAGTCACTATGATTATAAAATATACTGGACTCGCGCTCAATTCAATAGAGATTATGATTAAAGATCAATATTCAACAAGAGGAATCACCGCTGTGGAAGAGGAAATAATTGATAAATAGAATAACAGATCAGTAAACGTGTTTTCAGAATCAGTAACAATTATAATACATAACCTTAAAGAGTTTTTCCGCCAAAACGAACGAGACTGAGGAGCCAGCGGGCAATGAAGCTAAAATAAATTATATTCCCTTTATATTTTCTAATGAAATGAAAAACCATATTTTCGATAAAATATGAATAAAACGATTAAATCACAGAATAGATTATTTAGATTTAATCTATTCTGCGATTAAATTATCTTAAATATAAATACTATGTGATTATTAAAAATAATTTAAATAATTGTTAATTTTTGTGTATATAAAATCAATAAAGGCATTGATTACATTCTTCATATGCATTTACATACTGATGGAATAGTTAATAATAATTGGTTGATAATAATGAAATATAAATTTCATTTACAGATTTAATAAGTTATATACTTATTATTTCAATATACGGTATTATCTCAGAATGTAGATAATCGTGGCTATTTAAGTCTCCAAATATCTACTAGGTATGTGAAATTATAGGACTAATGATATAGGTACCGCTTCTCCGGTAAAATGTTTTCATCTAAAATCTATATTTTTTATAAACATATATGAGCAAAAACTCATACTTCAATAATTATAAGGATACACGCATGATTTTAAAAGAATGCTTATTTCGCAAGATCCATAAGTTATTTATAGAAGCATGATTTAAGTAGATTAACATGGAATATAAAATTTATAACGTTAAGAATAAAAAATAATTAGTATCCACGGTACAGTATACATCAATAAATAGTGGGGATCCATTACAGATATTACCTTCGTAATCTGAAAAAGGTTGGTGATAATGAAACTGAGAGTCTATACTGAAGTATATAATAACTTTTAATTATTATTTTGATAAGTGCCCAATTAAAAAATATATTTTAAGAGTATAGCTAGTTAAATAAGTTAATGGCGTAGTCTACAGATTAGTATAATTAAATTTTTTTTTTATTGGAATTACATTAAGTACTTTGTCTATTTGTACTGATGTTCGTATTACCCTAGATCAAATATATACCATTTAATCTATAATAATTTTTATAAGATAATATTTAATCATCATTTCACTTATTGATCGCTACTTTGACTCTAAGTATGACCATATCAAGTACATACCGTAGTAACACAATAAATACTGTTAAAATATTAAATCGAAAATAGATAAACGATAAATAGAACGATCGGTAAACTCAACGTATATTGAATTAACCTAATTATTGTACGTAATAATAATTACGTAATCATTATTATCTACCGACTTATGTACAAGTATCTAATATCTGTACGTGAAACCAATAGACGCATTTAAACAAAAGATCGAGCACTTGACACGTAGTAATAATACAAAGGATGTATTGTACAGAATCCTAGTGGTACGTTTGAAAGCTGTCACGCGTGCTCACACTCGACGATATAAACACACACTTGAGCGCTTACACGTTCAGCCCACTTCCGCGGCAGCGGCGGACAGGGAAGTGAATAAGAAAGTCGGCAGCGTGAGTGCGTAAGCCGAGGGCGAACATAAGAGGGGGTTAATCCTCCCATCTCCCGAAATATCAGGAACAAAAAATAAATTATCTGATCTACAAATGTGTAATTAATAAATAAATTTAAAAAAATATTAGTTATTTAAAAGTTTCCGTGGTTTTTAAATTGATGTATACAATACTAATTATATGATATTTATAAATATTTTTAATTTTTTCAACCCCCCCCCCCCTTGAAATTCACCAGAATTCGCCCTTGGTGTAAATACTCACACTGATCGTGTTTTACCCGTCAACAGCGGTTAACCGAGCAATGACCGGCAACGCGGTTGCGAATACGTGTTTACGCATTCTATTCAAATCAGTGTCGTCGTTAGCGAGCAAGCAACTTAGCCAATTACCTAGGGCTTCGTACTTCGTAAATTAGGGACCCAAAATTTGTCAAGTTAGAACGGTTAAGTATATTCGAGTTTAAGGAAATTGTACTGCATTCGCCTAGGGCCTCGCGAAAGTTTGCGACGGCACTGGTTCAAATGCGCGGTTACCGCACGAGTGCGTGAAGAAAAACGTTGCGTGCGTGTAATTTTTGTATTTTTTTTTTTTACTTCTGTGAGAGGGCACTTCGTTTGATCAGTTGAGTTCGTGTTCGAACTCGCTCGACGGAGGATATACTGAAATAATTGCGGCTTCGGCGCTCTATCTGCTGAGTTCATATACAGGGTGGGTCACGGGAATAGGGCTAAAAATAGATGGGTTTTTCTCGACGTAAGCTAAGTGTGAGTAAGTCGGAATGGTCTCATTCTATCCGTTAGATAATGCCATTTAGTTTCCACGATGGAGCAGTGGAGTGTCGTTCACCGTGTGTTCGCGTACGGCTCATTTGTCAAAAACAACGAATCGGTAGTGAAAGTAAAGCGTGCATTCAGAATTAATTTTAACATTGGCCGTCACGGTGCGGTTCCCGATCGGAAAACAATTATGAGATGGGTCACTGCTTTTCGAACAACGGGAATAATTACAAAAAAAAAGCCACCTGGCCCCGTACGTACTGTAACAACTCCCGAAAATACGGAAAGGGTAAGAGCCGCTGTTCTCCAAAGTCCACGACGCTCGGTGCACAAACAAGCTCAGGCTTTACAAATTAATCGTTCTTCCGTTTGACGCATCGTCAAGCGTGAGTTGAACTTCCATCCTTATAAGTTGACAATTGTTCAACAGTTGAAACCCACTGATTATCACCAACGTTCAGAATTTGCATTAGAGATGCTCTCGTTATTTGAGGTGAATGACGATATGCTGTTATTTATGAGTGATGAAGCGCATTTTCACCTCGACGGTTTTGTAAATAAGCAAAATTGCCGTTATTATGCTACAGAAAACCCTCAAAGCCTCCACGAACGACCGTTGCACAGCCCTAAAGTGACTGTTTGGTGTGCAGTTTAACAAAAATTAATCATTGGTCCTTACTTTTTTGAGGAACAAGGAAACACGGTGACTGTCAATAGTGCCCGCTACATTGAAATGCTTAATAACTTTTTTAAATCAGAGTTGCGTAAAAGAAGACGAATTATCAACCCGTCAAATGTCTGGTTTCAACAAGATGGAGCACCTCCTCACACTGCGATCGCCACAATGAACGTCATACGCGAGATGTTTCCCGGCCGCCTCATTTCACGTTTTGGAGATATGCATTGGCCTCCTAGGTCACCTGACTTGACGGTATGCGATTTTTTCCTTTGGGGTTATCTGAAATCACGTGTTTACGAGTCAAAACCACGTACACTAGACGAACTTAAGGATGCAATAAAAACGGAAATTGCATTAATAGACGAAAACTTGCTTCAATGCGTTCACTTAAATTTGTTGGACCGACTTTCTTCGTGCTACGAACAAGATGGATGTCATATGCTCGATGTTCTTTTCAAAACTTAAAATGGCACTTATTTGTGTATGATTAAATATTAATAAAATAATTGTACGTCTAAAACATCATGAGTTATATCTATTTGTTTTTGTCCCTATTCCCGTGACCCACCTGTATATACTAGCTGAATACCTGGGAATTTTTATAGAGGAAAACTATTATTGCGTTATAAACTAAACGTTGATCTGAAATTAATTTTGGCTCGTTTTCGTTTACATACATATTTGTGTACGTGTGATGAGCGAGATTATTTTTTTTGATATATTTCTCAGAACGACTGATAACTACACGTAGATAATACACACAATTTGACGGATAAAAAGGTTAGATTTCACATACATGTTGCCATCCCCCCAGGTAAAAAATCTAAAAAAAAAATCATGCAAATAATTAGCAAGCATTGCGCATGAATTCCCAAGACTAATACTGAAATGTGCATAATACTCCTTCCCCTTCAAAATCGAGAATCCTTGGGGGGTGGCTGGAAACACGTTTAGCCAGCTTCTCCCTCTGTTCAAAATTAACATATTCAAACATTTTTTTTTGGAAATATTTAGGACGCAATTTGCATGAAATAATTATTAGGAAAAATTCACAATTTGAAAGCTCAAAAAGTAATAAAAAATATTAAATAGAAAAAAAAGTAGTTTTATGAGTTCACATGAAACTTTGATTATTATAATTTATCATGATAAATAATATTATTTATAATGAGTCATTTCTTAACTCGATTATTTAAAAATAATAGACAGTGTACTGTAATATATTTCCAATGAAAATCAATATATGCATTTATGAATCATGCTTCATCTTGTGGTAATATTTTTAGATTGGTATAATTTAAATTTTATTTATAAATAATCATTATTTATCTAAATTAAAAAACCGATCCATTCATATTTAATATTATCATTTGTTTACTGATGCCGAGCCGACATGAACAATGATTTCTTTTATTTTTTACCATTTTTAAAATTGCTGTTTTTAACTAGTTTTACAGAAAATGGCTGGAAGAAAATTTGGACTTTCACCGGCAACGGTCATTGAAGCAGTACTTTTTCTTTTGAAGACAAAGTTATTATTTTCGAGAACGGTGAACGACGTAAGTATTTTTATATTATAATATTAATAATTTTTACAATAATTGTATATATAATGTATATTATAATGAATAAACGATAGCTTTAATACGGTGGACCACCGTGATATAATAATAAACAGAACAAATGTATATGAAAAATCTAATCATAGTATGAAAATATGCTAATTTAAAGATAATTTTCAGAAGATGATAGTTTTTAAGTAAATTGTTATTTTTATGTTCGATATTGGTCACATTAGTACCTGCACTTTATAAATTACTAAAACCTAAATGAAAAAAAAACTTATACATTTTATAAAAACTTAAGAAAACACCTCTACATTTATTAACTTGATGATCAGGAAGATAAATGTCACATGTAAATTCAAATTTCAGGTAGCTAAAAACCCGCGGGCTACCGCGCCGCATATAAGTATACAATTTCACATTTATTTTAGTTAATAATAACTAATTATTTACTAACTTTATTGGA